TGCTTCTCTGGGTAGGGTCCCACACTCCACTCTTCTCCCTTGATGGTCCCATCTTGCTCTTTTTTATTTCTATGTTCTTTTTTCTAGCTATTGATTACTTTTTTTTTCCTTTATCATTTTCTTCTTTCGCTGTTGTCTGCTTGGTTTCCTTCTCTCTTGTGAGTGTGTTTTCTCTTTTTGTCTCACTCAATTGTTATTGTTGTTAAGTGCCACTGAGTCAGTTCTGACTCATAGCAACTCTATAGGGTTTCCTGGGAGCAACTGGTAAAGCTTGAACTGCCCTTGTGATTCAAACTGACAATGTGTGTTACCCCACAGCGCCACATCAGGACTTCAAGTGTTGCTGCTGCTGTTAAGTGTTGTTGAATCAGTTCTGACCCCATAGCAACCCTGTATAGGGTTTCCAATGAGCAGCTGGTGAGCTTGAACCGCAGACTTTGCGGTTCAAACTGACTTTGCAGTCCAGCGCATTAGCCCACAACGCCACTCCAGGACTCTTAAGTAGAGGACAGAAAATATGCCATACAGCTCAGGCACAACCGTACCCTCTAAAACCCCACTAACTAGGCAAAAGTGATTATCAGCTGCTATACACCTATCAACAACAGTAACTAATATCAGCCAAACCCATCCTACATTGAGCTGCACAAATAACAAACATAGAAGAGTGTACACATCTCCATCCCCTGATCACACCAACCAGGAAGCAGTTATTGAGTGCCTAAGAATATACCAACATACAATTATCAACTTAATGCAAATATAACACCACAATGTCTCGGAAGCAACAGACCACTTCTGCTGAAGCAAAGACATGAGTCAGAGAGGCTCAAACAAGTGGCTAAGAAGCAGAGCTAGAAAATATTTTTGAGGTAAAAAAGGCACTGGAACCACCTGAAAAATAATTCAAGAGAAGGATATTTGGGTACCTCCAAATGACTTACAAAAAGGTGGAGGAAACCAAATAAGAATTCAAGAGGCCACAAGAACAAACAAAACAGATTGGAGACAACACAAATCCTGCAAAGAGAGAATATTAATACTAAGATTTCAGAAATCGACAATACAATGAAAGGGCAAAAGAACAGGTTTGAATCAATGGAAGCTCAAAACACTAGTAAATTAAATTAAAAGAACAATCAATATAAAGAATAAAAAATCTGAAGAAAGCCTAAGACTTATATGGGACACATGAGAAGGAATAGCTTATGTGTGATCAGAATTCTAGAACAGGAAGAGACAAAGAAAAGCACAGAAAAGTTAGTCAAAGAGCTGATGGAAGAAAACGCCCCTAACATTATGAAAAATGAGAAGACAAGCATTCAAGAAGCTTAATGAACCTCAAATAAGGATAGACCCCAAAAGATAATCACCAAGACATACCATAATCAAACTCTCCCTAAAATCAAAGTCAAGGAAAGAATCCTGAGAGCAGCTCAGGAAAAAACAAAAAGTTATCCACAAAAGAGAACCAGTAAGATTAAGCTCTGATTTCTCAAACAGAAGCCAAACAGGGAAGAAGGCAATGGGAAGACATATACAAAACTCAGAAAGATAACAATTTCCAACCTAGAATCATATACTGAGCAAAACTACTCCTCAAATTAGGGCATTTACAGATAAACAGAAATTAAAGGAATTTATAATGACAGACCAGATTTACAAAAAACACTAAATGGAGTTCCTTGGACTGAGAACTAACTATATAAGACAACAACCTAAGATTGACATATACATCAACACCATCCAGAATTCAATCCAGAAACAGAAGTATCCAAAGTAAAACAAACCTGATGTTGTTGTTTAGTGTTTACAAGTTGGTTCTAATTCATAGCAACCCTGAATAGGGTTTCCAAGCCTTTAAATCATTGCAGGAATTTGAAAGCCTCATCTATCTCCCTCAGAGTGGCTGGTGGGCTCAAACAATACAGCATTTACTATATGGAGTCACTGTGCTCCCCAAACTTAGAAGACTGAAAATGGGGAACGAGAGATATCAATTTACAATGAAGACAACTGGAGAGCAAAAAGGGGTAAAAGTGTACTTACTGAACTTACAAATGGCAAGGAATTCAAACAGATTTCAACACAAAACACACTGTTTTGAACTGGGAAAGAAATTAATAAAGTACTGGTTAACTTCAATGAAAGTGAATATACCTTCACATCAAATTTTAAAAAAAAAGGAAAACCAAAAGGATACATTAAAACAACAGCAATTGAGACAATGAAAAGAAATCCCAGAAAGAAAATGAACTCAAAGCAGAAATTTATATGGAACCAAAAACTAGCAACACCACAAAAAAACACACAGCCAAACGACAAAATTCAATTAATACCTATCGATAATTATACTGTTGTTGTTAAGTGCCG